GAGAGCAAGCAGCTGTCCCTGCACCTTCTCACTCAGCCCCTTTCTACCTCTGGGGAACTCTGAGCTATGCTGTAAGTTGGTCCCAAGCATCAGAGTTTCCCAGGATGCAAGAAAAGTAAGAAAACAATTCAGGAAAATACTGCCTATTACTTGTTCACCGTCCATCCCCTCTTTCTTTATTATCAAAAACTTTTTTTTTCTTTCAAGGTATCAACATACCCAGTTAAAAACACTTAATTACGGCTAGGAGTAGCCATATTACATAGTTAAGGTCAAAAAGATGTAGATTGAAGTCTCTGGGAAGGGCACTTCTACCATAATAAAAAGGCAAAGACTCCTGGGGAAAAGGCTTTTTGCATCTCACCCTCACTCTGTCTCCTAACCTGGAACATGAACAGTGAGACCTGGAGGTATGGCAGCTATACTGTGATCATGAAGCGACATGCATGAGGATAAAAGTGTATGTGATGTACATTAAAGAGCAAAAGAATGAAAAGACACCGGGTCTCCGATGGCACCTCGGGAACCCTGAACCAGTCCTGAACTGCCTACTGCAGATTTCTTGTGTGAGACAATTAAAGCCATTATCATTAGTCGGGTTTTCTGTAACTTAAAGCTGAATAAACTCCTAACTAGTAGAGAATTTGTTATCTTAAAATGGACCTCAAGTAAAAAAAAATCTAAAATGTGGAATTGGCTAAGTAGAAGAAGGAGGGTAGTGAGAGGTAAGGACCCAGTATGTCAGGCTGGAAAGTCGGGACCCTCATTGTGAGATGACAAGATATTTAGTCGGACCTTCCCCGATATATCTTGGGATGTAGACCAAAAGGAAGCACAGGTGTAGTGATAGAGGAAGTGGTGGAAAGGCTTCAAAAGCTAGCACGAGCTGGCTCCTTGCATCTTTCATCACAGACCTACGAGAGTTGGATGCTGCTATTACAAAAAACCAAAACAGGTGTCATTGGCTTTGGGACCAGGCAATGGATGAAAGCTGGAAGGGCTTCAACAAAGTTGTTGGTAATGATCTGAAGGACAGAAGGAACTGCTAATGGAGGCTGGAGAAAAGGAGACCCTATTAGGTGGTAGTGGGATGTCCGGCAACACTGTTGTCTGTGGTTACATGGAAAATAGAAAGGGTACGTAATGCAAATAGAAAGGCACCTAATGAGAATAGAAAGGGTACCTAACGAATTTATGGATCTGACAAGGAGATTTTTAGGCAGAAAAGTGAAAGTGCCAATTGGCTTCTTCTGGCGGCCTATGATAAAATATGAGAAGAGAAAGCTGAACTAAAGAAGGAACTGTTCAGTTTTTTAGCAGAATTTAGAGGAAATAGAGAGGACCCAGCACAATCCTTCCAGCCAGCAAAAGGCTCTCAAAGTAATAAATGGCCTCAGGGCAAAGATCAAATCCAGGTCCCTGCCAGTAAAAAGGGTCTCAGGGTAAAGATGAAGTCAAAGGTAAGACCCTTTAATGAGACCTCAAAAAAATTTAAAGGCAAACTTCGTAGATCTTCTCAGATTAATAATTTTAGAAGTATGCCTCTTAGACCCTTTCAGACAAAAAGGCTTTTAAGAATCCCAAGGGCATTTACTCACAGCACTCTGGCTCTCTGTCTAAAGTGGAGAGGGATCGATCTCGAAGAGATTTGTAGGTATGGCTTTTGTCTAATTAAGTGAATTATGAATTGATGCACAGGAAGCCCACATTTTTAAAGGAATTATATCATCTTGGACTGAAAGGCACAGAGAGAGCTCAAAACAAAAAACAAGGTTTTGAGCTCTTAGACATCTTTTGGGTCTTTAACTTCCTATGGGCAAGAAGCAGGCTGAGAAGCCTACTTAGCTACAAACACAGACATTTTTTGTGGAAAAGAAAGAGTTAACTCAGAAATTGAAGCCAAGAGTCTATAGGGTGGAGGCAAGAGCCAAGAAGAGCCCTGTGTAGAGAGCAGAACTGAACCCTGATCAAGAATCTGATTACATGTACATACTGCAATTTCAGAATTGTTATCAATCAGTGTCCATTTTGTGCCTCCAATCACCACCACCCCCTTTTGAATAGGAGCATTTGTTGCAGTCATCTGTCTTTGTCTCGCCTTTGAACACTTATGTTCTTCACAGGCCTTAGGCCAAGAGGAACCATTGCTGTGGAGCTGTACTGGAGGAACTGCCCCTGAGAAACCTCACTCCTATCTGGATCTGATTTGACTCTGGGTCGTGGGAAGGAGGTGAGTGTACTTTACATATGGGAGGGATGTGAATTGTGGTTGCTAGAAGATAGACTATGGTATATAGTGTCCAAAGATGGTCACCATCAATTTTATGCATATTCATATTTAGAAATATCTAATTCCCCTCCCCTAGAATCTGGGCCAGCCTTAATGACTTGTTCGATCAATAGAATGCAGCCGGAATGATGTCCTAGGATTTCTGAAATAAATCTTAAGAAGCCAGGCTGGGTGCGGTGGCTCATGCCTGTAATCCTAGCACTCTGGGAGGCCAAGGCAGGTGGATTGCTCAAGGTCAGGAGTTCGAGACCAGCCTGAGCAACAGCGAGACCCCGTCTCTACTAAAAATAGAAAGAAATTAATTGGACAACTAAAAATATATAATAAAAATTAGCTGGGCATGGTGGCACATGCCTGTAGTCCCAGCTGCTTGGGAGGCTGAGGCAGAAGGATTGCTTGAGCCCAGCAGTCTGAGGTTGCTGTGAGCTAGGCTGACGCCACGGCACTCTAGCCCGGGCAACAGAGCAAGACTCCGTCTCAAAAAAAAAAAATCTTAAGAAGCCTTATGCCATGTTCACTTTGGGATATATCCTCTCAAAACCCAGCTGCCATGCTCTGAGAAACCCAAGCCACACAGAGAGGCCATGGGTAGGCACTCCAGCTGATAGTTTCAGCTGAGCTCCCAGCTAACGACCAGTATGTTGCCAGGCATATTGAGTGAGCTACCTTAGATGCTGAGTGAATCTGAACTTTCAGATGACTCCAGCCCCAACTTCCATCTGCAACTGCATGAGAGGACCCCAAGTGAGAACAAGCAACTAAGCCTAGTCTACCTGCAGAACTATGAGAGAGAATAAATTTCTGTTTTAAGCATGTTGGGATGATTTGTTGTGCAGCAAAAGGTAACCCTCATAGCAAGTCTGAGTCACTGAACAAAACCTGAACCTGCCTACGCCAGACTTCCTGTTGTGTAAGGCATTTGAACATCAATTTATTTAAGCCACCGCTATTCAGGTTTTCTGTAATACATTCCAAACTAATAGAGAATTTGGTAACTAGAAGTAGGATGCATCAAGAAAAAGAACCTAAAATGTAGAATTGGATGAAGATAGGAAAGAATAAAATAGGAGGACCTAACCTTTTCAGTCTGGAAAGCTGGTGACCCTTGTTATGAAACGGCAGATCATCTAGTCAGACTGTCACCTGTGTACCTTAAGATGCAGAATATATGGCAACCTAGGCTACAGTTTTAGGGGAAATGGTAGGGGAAAATATTCCAATTTTGACATGAGCTGGCTCCTAGTAGCTTTTAGCAAAGACCAACAGGAAAGGAATGAACTCAAAATAGAGCCAGCCAATCTGAAAGCAGATGTAAAAAGAAATACAGCTTTTCTAAAAACAGGTATACTGCTTGTCTTGGTCCATTTTGTACTGCTATTAATATAACAGAATACCACAGGCTGGGTAATGTGTAATGAACACAATTTTATTGGCTCACGATTCTGGAGGCTGGGAAGTCCAAGACTGAGGGGCTGCATCTGGTGAGGGCCTTCTTGCTGCATCATCCATGACAGAAGGACAAAGAGGAAGGGGCAGGGTGGGGGCAACTCATCCTTTTATGAGGAACCCAGTCCCACTATAATGGCATTAATCCACTCATGAGGGCAGAGCCCTCATGGCCTAATCACCTCTTCAAAGTCCCACCTCTTAATACTGGCACTTTGGGAATCAAATTTCCAACACATGAACTTTGGTGGACACATTCAAACCATAGCACTGCCTGTGGCCTGTAATCTGACAAGGAGTCCTTAAAATGAAGCTTTGTGGTGGTGACTTATTATTCATGTCCCTTGAGTAGATCCTAGTACAACTCGCTGCTCACGGTAATAAATGTTAAGGTCAGCCCTTCATTCCCGGGTTATACCCTTCCCTCTTTATTGGAATTGAGATTTTCTCTTTTCATGAAATGATAGTGATGGTAGCTGTTATTTTTTAATATCTTTATTTAGGCCGGGCGCAGTGGCTCACGCCTGTAATCCTAGCATTCTGGGAGGCCGAGGCGGGCGGATTGTTTGAGCTCAGGAGTTCGAGACCAGCCTGAGCAAGAGCGAGACCCCGTCTCTACTA